AGTATCGACAGTATCGACACTATCTCGCTCTGCTCGATAGTGTCACTCGACAGTGTCAACAGTATCGACAGTATCGACAGTATCGACACTATCTCGCTCTGCTCGATAGTGTCACTCGACAGTGTCAACAGTATCGACAGTATCGACACTATCTCGCTCTGCTCGATAGTGTCACTCGACAGTGTCAACAGTATCGACAGTATCGACACTATCTCGCTCTGCTCGATAGTGTCACTCGACAGTGTCAACAGTATCGACAGTATCGACACTATCTCGCTCTGCTCGATAGTGTCACTCGATTGTGTCTTGCCGGGTAAGCAACAAAAAAAAGGTTGCATAAAGATTACGATCTCGATTCGAAAGATATATAGATATTGATTATACATATAATATACACATATGCATTAGATTCTTGGCCCTAGGAAATTCCTTAGAGTTATGGATACTTATACTGGCTTCCGAAAAGGTCTGACATCAACCAGGCTTGCAAGTGAGGAAGAGGGAGTAAAAGAAGAAGAGGAAAGAAAAGAAGAAGAGAGAGCAAAAGAAGAGAGAGCAAAAGAAGAAGAAGAAGAGAGAGATGGTGAAGGTTGCACAAGATCTGTGTCTTACGACGAGGATTTCGATCCCAACAAGACTTATACGGGGAGCTCTGCATATTGGGAACAACGCAATTCTTTGTCGAGATTTGACGACAAACCCACCTCGGACGGTTTGGGATCATCAAGAAACTATTACATACCTTCCGTGTACTCAGATAGAAAGTCAATACTCAGTGAGGAATCCAGCTCATATCCACACCATTTGAGCATACTGAAAACCTCGTCTTCGCAACGAGCGGGTAATGTATCGCCTTTGCTCCTGGAATCCCTAGAAGATAATGATTTGGAGGATTTAAAGGAAGGTTTGAAATTTGCATTAGGTACAAATACAGAAGATGCTAATTGGTTTCCCGTGTCCAGTCCATATAAAGGGGCATCTCAAGCTGGAAACAAAGATCAAATTTCCGCGGCTGACGAGGAGACGATAACGGCAACAACAACGGCAACAACGAACGTCGTCGAGTTTACCAATCATACTGGAACCATACCCCTTCAAGATTTAAGTTATTTGAAAGTGACATCCAGTAGAAGATCAATGGATGCTCTATCGCCTTTCAACGACCCAATAGACTCTGCAATCGCAGCCGCAGCAGCAACATCATCATCATCACACAAACTTGCGGATAAATATGAAGGAGACAACTCATTAATCACGCCGACCACTCTTGAAGAAGGGTTACAGTTACCACCATCAAAATTATCAAAGGAAACAAACGCAAGTCCGAGACCAGCTAGGTTTGCGGATGCATTAACTAGAATTTCCAATCGTATTGCTGGAGCAGGTGATACCTTGGGAAATGATTCAAAATTGGACGTGGCAGCGGCCGCGGTGACGGTGACAACGCCTTCCAGTCAAACAGCTCCACCACTGAGCAGTATCCTGCTAAAAACACCAATTAAGGAGCAATCTCCCCTTTTTTTCGATGTTGAATTTTCACCTTCCAAAAAGAGCTCCACGCTGCCGAAACTCATTCCAAACGTCACCATCACACTGGATGATAAACGCAAATCCCTGTTTAGAGAAACAACGAGACCTATTGGATTGGGCTTACAACAGATGAGTTCAAATGTTTCTAATAAGAGAGAACAGCTTTTGGACGATGAGCAAGTGTCATTATCAAATCGATCGTTTGCAGATATTAGTGGCGTTCCTTCTTCACAACAGTCTCCTTTGAAGGTACAGAAACGCAAACCCAAGTTACGTCTTTTGTATGGAAACACCTTGAACTTTTTTTCACCCAGTTCAAAGATTAGACAATTTTGTCATTCAATTTTAATAAACAAGTTTACAAACTTTTTCATGTTGGTGGTACTTCTTTTGCAAGTAGTACTTTTAAGCTATAGACAGTGGAACCCTTATGCCTTGGATGGATATTTTTATTCGGGCTACGACTGGGCGGATGTTTTGTTAATAATAATTAACGTGATTTATACGGTAGAAATATTTGCTCAGATTGTTTCCTACGGATTCATAAATGATAATTCTATGTTTGAAGAGTTGGGCATTCCATATCCAAAAGGGGAGTTTAGCCAGTTGTATTTTTCAACAAATTATTTGAGAAGATTTGCTCAATTTATTGGATTGGGAATACTATTTCGAAAGAAAGAACATCAAATCGACGACATGAAAAATCCTGATTTTTCAAAGCAATCGGATGGATCCACTGACATACTTGAAGAAGTGTATATAAAAGATACCGAGTTGGAAGGAGACATCAGCTCAGAACAGTTACTAGGTTCAAATTCAGGAGATTTGAAAAAAAAATATAACCTTGATCTGTATCACTGGAATCTGAAAACCGAGTCTGGTGTTTCTAGCTTTGAAAAGGAATTAGACTCACATTCTGCGAAAAGTTTTAGACTTCACTCAAGTAATACGTTTTTCAAGCCTGAGTCGTCTACCGAACCAGTAGATCAGTCTCAACTAAAACGTGCTTTTCTCAGGAGCAGTTGGCATCGTATAGACTTTCTATCAATGATATTTTTTTGGATATCTTTGTTGTTATCGATTGATTATTACGATGCTAAACATCATATTATGATTTTTAGATCATTGAGTTGCTTAAGAATTTTGAGACTTTGCAATCTTACTTCGGGTACAACCACAATTCTCACTGCTTGCAAAACAGCCCTACCCCAACTTATCGATGTTTCCATTTTTATTGCATGCTTTTGGCTATTCTTTGGAATAATTGGAGTTCAATCGTTCAAATCGTCGTTGTCAAGACATTGTGTTTGGACTAATCCCAGTGACTCTTCCGATATTTGGGTAAACTCAGATCTGTACTGTGGTTCTTTTATCGGACTCAATGGAAACAAAATGTCATACCTTACAAGAGAAGGTGATTCTTCAGGCGTTATTAAAGGGTATCGGTGTCCCATGTACTCGCAGTGCATATCTGGAGAAAACCCTTATAATGGAACAGTAAATTTTGATAATATTTTGCAATCTTTGCAAATGGTTTTTGTGGTAATGAGTGCCAACACGTTTACTGATATCATGTACAACACCATGGATAGTGACAATCTTGCTGCTTGTCTTTTTTTCATTGCTTGCATTTTCGTATTAACAGTGTGGCTACTTAATGTCTTTATTGCAGTAATAGTTACATCTTTCAACATAACGCGTTTAGAAGCTGCTGAGGAGAAAAGCAGAAAGACACATGAAAGATGGCTTTATAAGATATTTGGGTTTTCAAAAGGTGCAGCCGTTTTGTATAATAAAAAAATAGAAAGTTTAAAGCAACGTAACCGCTTGTTGAGATATTACTACAAGTCCGAGTTTGTGTTTATCATTGCAATTGCGGCAAGTTTGTTTATTCAATGTTTTCGAAGTCACAATATGTCAGATTTTCGCCGACACCTTCTTTACCGATTTGAAGTTGCCTTTACGATTGTGTTTGCGGTTGAAATTGTTCTAAGATTTGTTTTTTACTTTCCAAAGTATAAGCTATTCTTTTACTCAAAGAGAAATTGCTTTGACTTGGTATTAGCGACTGTGTCGGTTATTATTGTTATTCAACCGGTAAAGGATAAATTGGGACATGCCTACTACTGGCTAACTGTTTTTCAACTTATGAGGTTTTACAGGGTGGTTTTAGCCACATCAATAACAAGAAATTTATGGTTGAAAATTATGGGAAATTTTAGAGCTATATTTGACTTGACGTTGTTTTACTTTATTTTGTTATATTTGGTTAGTATAATATTGGCAAGATATTTTGAGGGCGCAATACCACCCGAGGATGCAGATAGTGTTGATTTTCCTATGGATACATTACCGGCATCGTTTATTGCTTTGTACGTCATCACATCTACTGAAAATTGGACCGAGGTGATGTATAGTCTTCAGCAATATGCCACCACCACTTCGTCGAGATCTTTTGGATCATTCTTTTTAATTGCTTGGTTTATTTTGTCGAATATGATCATTTTGAATATTTTCATTGCAGTTATTGCAAAGACCTTAGAAGTATCCGAGGCGAACAAACGAAGACATCAATTGATTCAGTTTATTGGTATTATGACTAATAAGCTCCAAAACATCCAGCAAGATACGGGATTATTGAAAAAGATTAAAACTAAATTGTTTAGAAGGAACGAGAAAAAAGACGAGTTGGAGAAAGCGGTAGTCAATTTGCTTTTGAGTGGTACGGCAGTACAGGAGTTTTTGGATAGGGATTTGAAGAATGAAATTGACGAGGACCTAGAGGTTGACTCCGTTAATGACATACGAACGATGCCATCACAACAATGGAAGAGATGGCTACAGGTTAACTTTTCAAGAATCTTTAACTATTTAACAAACCCATTCCACTTGGAAGTTTCCAAGGGGTACGAGAAATGTAGGCTTGAGAATTTTGAACCAAGCAATTTTGCGAAAAATATTATGAAAGAAAGAAATGTGTTATTGAACAAGCAAAGTGAGTTCTTAGAAGCTAATCCAAGGTTCAATTATGTTTTCTATGTTATGGGTCCGCGTCATAAATTTAGAAGATTATGTCAAAGAATGGTGAAACCTAGTTACGGGGAGAGAATAGATGGCGTACCTCCCTTCAGACCTATATCGGAAACAATTGTTGTGATCATGTTCTTTGCCACAATTGGATTAGTTGTGCTAGCTTGTTACATGACCCCTATTTATAGAATGAACGTTTCAAATGCAGATTGGATTTTCTGGTCAGAGTTTTCATTTGCGTTGGTTTTCACAGTTGAATTTTTGATAAAGGTAATCGCAGATGGACTTATCTTTACACCAAACGCGTATCTTCGATCTTCCTGGAACTTTATAGACTTTGTGGTACTTATTTCCTTATGGATTGAAGCCGTTGCCTATTTAAAAAACGACGGGAACCTTTCCCGAATCGTTCGAGGCTTAAAAGCCTTACGTGCCTTGAGGCTTTTGACAATAAGTGAAACTGCCAAATCCAATTTTCACAACACTATGATTGCTGGATTCTGGAAAATTTTGAACGCAGCAATAATCTCGCTTTGTTTGCTTTTCCCATTCTCAATATGGGGATTGAATATTTTCAATGGCCGTCTTGGATATTGCTTGGATGGTGAATCGGATATGGGAGAGTGCTACAATGAATACAACAATGAGGTTTTCAATTGGAATGTGTTGAGTCCTAATGTTTATACAAATCCCCAATTGGAATTCAATAGATTTGGGTCTTCCTTTGTGACATTGTTCGAGATTGTTTCGTTGGAGGGATGGACAGACTTGTTAAAGAATTTGATTAACAGTACTGGAGTTGGAACTGCACCTCAAACAAATGCTTCTCCTTTCAATGGTGTATTTCTTGTGCTTTTCAATTTTGTTAGCATTGTTTTTATTTTGACATTGTTTGTTTCGGTTATCATTAGTAATTACTCGAGGTCCACCGGTAGAGCATATATGACAACAGACCAAATATCGTGGTATCATGTTAAAAAATATTTGTTGCAGGTTAAACCTTCAAAAAGAAAAGATTATCAAAACTTATCTACGGTTAAGAAATTTTGCTATAAAATGACTGTTGAAAGGAATCGAGTTTGGTCCAGAATATTAAACTGTACATTGTTTATGCATACTTTGGCCTTGTTGTTAGAATGTTTCCCCTCTGGAACGGGTTTGATTACGTTCCGAACTGTTGTTTATACGATAGCATCCATTGTGTTTTTTGCAAACGTAGTGATGTTGGCTATTGCGCAAGGATTTAAACTTTTTGTTCATTACAGATGGAATCTTTTCAATTTGGTTATTTCATTTGGAGCCTTTTTAACTACACTCATTTCCTTTTGGACGGATCCATATTCGCCATTTTTGAATTTCAATAAATTGTTTTTGGTTGCCATTTTACTATTTGTGATTCCTCGAAGTAATAGGTTGAGTCAATTGTTGAGATTTGCTTCAGCGTCTCTACCCTCGATATTATCGTTGTCCTTTACTTGGATCATTGTATTTTTGGTCTTTGCCATTGCCATGAACCAAATATTTGGGCTAACCAAAATCGGACCTAATGGAACAGGAAATTTGAACTTGCGAACAGTGCCCAAAACATTGATTGTTTTGTTTAGGTGCAGTTTTGGGGAAGGGTGGAACTATATAATGGAAGACTATACTTTAGCGCTGCCCTTTTGTACTGATGAAGAGAATTTAGATAACAACGACTGCGGTAGCAAACAATATGCTTATATTTTATTCATTGGCTGGAATATAATATCCATGTACATATTCTTGAATATGTTCGTATCATTGATATTGGATAGTTTTGATTATATTAATCAAAAGGCAAGCTACAACCAATTGATACAGAGAGAGGAGATTAGGAAATTCAAAAGAACATGGCAAAAATTTGACCCCGAAGGTACAGGTTACATTAAACCGATTGAACTACCTAAGTTGTTACATTGTTTAACTGGGGCATTATCGTTCCATTTTTATACAGGCCAACTAGAGATTAGGGAGTTATGCCACAAATGGATTAAGAGAAACAACATAAATGATCCATACGATGTCACACTTGATTATGACGCTATTGAGGAGACATTTAGTCAAATGGACATACCCAAGATAAAAACTAGGAGAAAAGCTTATGAAATGTTTATTGAGGAAGCACTTTTAACTATGGAATTAAACGAAGATCCAGGTATCAGTTTTACCAGAATTTTGCTACAGTTGCCTTTATATAATACATTTGATACTGGAAAATGTTTCAATTTGATTGACTACTTGGAAAGAAGGTTGTTAGTTGGTAAAGTTGTGAAAAAGTTGCATACAAAGAGAGTCTACGAAACTATTGCTGCATATGCATGTAGATGGAAATACCAAAAGAACAAGAGATTGGGAATAAAGGATGCTGATATTGCTTTTGATAAACAATTGAAAAGAGCAAGCTACCTAGCAAACGAGAATTTATGGATCAACACTGATCGAGTGCCGACAATTTTTGTCAGTGATGAGCATCACAGAATAACCCTGGCATATTATAGGGGTGCAGCTGGTAGAGAAGAGGAAAAATATGATGATGATGATGATGATGATGATGATGGCGGGGAAAGAAAAGAAGTAAAAGAGGAAAACGAAGCAAATGCAGAAATTGACGATTTGGGCAAGATCAATACTCAACCAGTGCTTAGAAATTCTGCCATTTACGGAGATCACACTATGCCTGGAGGGGTCTACTATCCAAACTCGCCAATTGTAAAGACTTTGAAAATCCCACAACATAAACGAAAAGCTCCGCATTTATCGATAAAAACCCATCATGTGTCAGAGATGAACACCATCAAAATACCAGATGATGATACCACAATTTCACCATTTATTGATCCGTTCCTGACTGATGAGAATCAGGATGCACAAAGCGAATCCGCAGTTCAACCAAAGTCCGTAAATGAGATTTTGGAATCGTCTCCATGGGGAGATACATTAAGAGATATGAAGCCTAAAAACACAAACTACAAGTCGCATTAAAGAAAAAGGTATAAAAAGGAATATATATATATATAATACATACAAGAGAGGGTTATTTATAGATATGATTATTTAAATGTAATTTTTTTTTTTCAATTTCTTAGTCCTTTACTTTTTCACAATCTCAATGCTTCTCTTCCCCTTATCTTAGTCTGTTTTAATATCATTTAGTCCCAAGTCTTCATTTTGTTCAAACGTCCTTTCAAACTCCTCAATTGTCATATTTGGATCCTTATCAGGAGCATACACATTTTGAATATATGACGCGGCTATTGGATCTTCCATAACAATTGTAAACCCAATCTTCCCATCAATTGCACTCTGTAATTTGGCAAAAAACTCTGCCCAGCGTTGTTTAGTTTCATCATCCATTGAATCTGATGTTTGACTAAATACACGATTGTTTAACTCTTGTGAAACTTGAGTTAACAAACCTTCAATGGTAGTAAATCTTCCACCCAAAGTTCCAGGAGTTAAATCTAAATTTAGTTCAGGAATATGCATTCCACAACTTTCTGATTTAAGTATATCTCGTTTCAAATCTTCTGGATCATTGACTTTGAGGGTTATCTTTCTCCCCTTTGCTGGGATTTCACCTCCTGTTTTCACCTCATTAGATTTATAGCCGCAGTGATCACATACTGTGGACATCAATATCACATCTTTGAAATGCGGAATATTGACACTTTTCATGTGCGTTTCGCAAGGTTTGTAGCAAGAGGAACAAGTTGCTGCAAAAGTTTGCACCTCGTTTTCGAAATTCTCAATATCAGTTGCATCGGATAGGAATCCAGTAGATTTTGGATTATTTGAAGTTGAGGTTGTGGGTTTCTCAGTCGACGGTTGCTGCTTACTATTTTTAGCAACCTCTTGCTGGTGTTGAGCAAATTCGTCTGCCGAGATTAGTCCCAAATAAACATTCTGCTCCGGAGTTCTAGTGTATTCATACATTGCCCATTTGTGAGATGCTTCACCAGGTATATACTCAATCCAGGAGTTCCCAGCAGGGTCATCGATACTTACTGTTAATGGTAGAGTTCCTGGCTCAGCATTGAGGTACAGATTTATTTTAGTTATAACATTGCCAATTTGTTCATATAGTTCTGGATGTAATTTTTTCCTTTCTTGTTGATCTGATTCCAAGTCTGTAATCATTTCTTGTAAAATACCTTCGACATTAATCAATTGGCCTCTCTTTGGAGGTATTTCAATATCTAGCTCATGGAACTTGACAGTAGCAGTTTCCGATTTAACAACCTGTCTATTGAAATCCTTCTTATCTTCAACTTTGAAAACGTACCTTGAGCCCTTTTCGGCAATCTGTGCAGCTGGTTGGATTTCACTGTTTTTGAAGCCGCAATGAGGACATTCGAATGACATAATAATGATTTCTCTAAAATAGGGAATTCTCGTTAATAACATCCTCGTTGTACCATTTTTATGACAATTCATACATAATGACTCTACCTCTTGGACTGGGTGACCTTCAGCATCGGCTATACCGGTTTGTCTAACTGCATTATCATCGATATTCTGGGCTTGCTCTCCAACCGAGGTGAAAAGATTGTCCTTTTTTGACTCTTGTGATGGATTTGTACTTTCGCTTGACATGCTTATTCTTGGTTTTTTGTCAATATGCTGTTCAGAACCATCCATTAGTAAGAAAAACGCGAAGCTGTGATGGTATTATAAGTTGTTCAAGATGGAACTTTATTGAATATTCTTTGCGATGCGATGCGATGCGAAAGCTGCGAAAAAAAAAGAAAGAAAAAAAGAAAAAGAAACCAACGTCGACCTAGACGTTGGGGCGAACGGGGGGGGCGGGCTAAGGCGACGATGTTTTATACCAGAACCTTCCAGTAGAAACCAGGTCCATGTAGAATAATGAATATTTTAAGAAGTTGCATAAAATGGGTCATCAAGGTTCGAGTCCTTCTAGTTGTAGAGATAGTTTGATTGCTGGTAATTGGAGATAGTTCGATTGCTGGTAATTGGAGATAGTTTTGATGTTATTAATTAGTACGTTATACAATTAATCATTATTACTGTAATGATTATCTTGATTATCTTGATTCTATTTTAATTACTTAATTAAGTAATCCATATCGGCTTTTGTTTGATAAGCTGAGAAATACTGTCTGGCACGTAATTATACACTGCGCTTCATTAAAAAAACTGTCTGGCACATAATTGTGCACTGCGCTTCATTAAAAAAACTGTCTGGCACATTTTTATGCTGCGCGCTTGATAAAAGTTTCCAATTAGTTCTGTAAATCACGTGACCATGATTTCTCGAGAAGAAAGTTAAAGAAGAAGGTATATAATTGTGGATATTTCGATGGCCAAAGTTACAAATTGGAGTTGGCTCCAACCGTCTATAGTTTACGATGAATATTTTATTTTATCTTGACATTTCTCTTTATAATTTGTTTCTCTATATCTTGTTTCTCTATATCTTGTTTCTCTATTTTATTTCTCCTTCTTTTCGTTTGTTCGTGATAACCTGATTTCTATATGAAACTAGACGAAAAAGAGGAAAATACCAGTTAGATAAGTAATAAAGAAAAAAGAAAAAAAGTAATAAAAGGAAGAAGAGTGATTTTATGAATTATTTGTAGCCACAATGAAAAACTCAAATTCTCTATTCTTGCACAACTCTATGCCACCACACCATGAAAAAGAGAAAACTCCTTATTAACTCCTTAACGTTTGTTTTTGATTTGATTCGTTTAACATTTTATACTATTTTGCACAATCTAGCTAATAAGGTTTGACACCTGTTCTACCCCTTTCAAATCTTATAACCACACCCTTTCATATCCGAATCAATAATTACCTATTTTTCTCTTGTAGCTATCACCACACACCTTTCATATCAGAATCAATAAATACCTTTTTTCTCTTGTAGCTATTACCATACACCTCTCATAATAGAACCACTATATATCTTTTTTCTCTTGTAGCTATTACCATACACCTCTCATAATAGAACCACTATAAATCTTTCTTTTCTTTCCTCTACTAGTTAATCTTTTTTTTCTCTTGTAAAAAAGTACACTACTCTAATTCAACAGCCACAATTAAGCTAGTCAAGGAATATTTACAAAACAATGACAGCTCAGTCTAATCCACACCATAGCTTATTTGAGGACGTGGTTAGAAAATTTCGGGCAATAGAAAGCATGACACAAGCATAATGATAAATATATATATATACAGTAGGTTTGACCTCTCAAAACGAAATTGCAAACTGCCTCTTTCTTTTTCTCTTTAATTCCAACAGGTCTACTCTTACTCTTTTCTTTTCTTTTCCTTCCTCACCTTATAAAATAAAATTTTCAAGCTTGTCATTCATCACTATCTTTTTTCATCAATATCTTTTTTCACATTTTGTATTTTAGTTTGGTTGATCAAAAGCTTATTAGAATTAGTCAAGGTTAAGAATAACCGGGCAAAGATAAAGTGGCTCCCATACTCCCATACTCCCATACGTGTAAATGGACTTGCACAATACCTGCACCTCAGACGAGCAGGAGTCTCCTTCCTTGGCCAGTAGTAATTTTCAAAATATCATAAATACAGCTTCATCATCAACAGATATATTATCCAACTCAAGTACATGTCCTACATCTAAAAAGGAGTCAACAATAGGCCATGATGATGAGACTCATCTGTCATCGTCTTCCACAAAGTCTTGTACCATTATCGACTCAAATCACACACAAAAACCTACATCCTTTTCATTTCTAGCGGCAAAGAACTTTGGCTCAGAACACAATCAAGATGTATCTGTGGTGACACCTTTTCTAGTCAAACATATAAGTGATCAAAATTTTATACCTAAGGATAATTTCCACAAATACTGCTACCGCCACAATCCAGACATTGTTTGTAATAAACGTACAGATGAGGTTAAAATGAGACAAATACAAAACAAATTGGAAAACTTGCCACACAGTGATCAACAGGCTATCAGCCATGTTTGGTCGATTTTCAGCGCAGCTCCTGTACAACATAGACAGCTAATACTACAAGGTTTATTAACTCAGTGTTGCTTTCCACAATTATCCTTTATCTCACAAGAAGTCTCCTCACTGATCAAAATCGACTTTATTTCCATATTGCCGCAGGAAATTTCATTGAAAATACTTTGTTACTTGGATTGTAACAGTTTATGTAACGCAGCACAAGTTTCACGAAAATGGAAAAGCTTAGCTGATGATGACAGAGTGTGGCACCATATGTGTGAACAGCATATTGATAGAAAATGCCCAAATTGCGGCTGGGGATTACCTCTAATGCATATGAAAAGAGCAAGAGAAATGGCAGAAGATGATATAAAGCCGATTAAAAGAAACAACGACGAGGAACAACAACAGCTGCAGCAACAACAACAACAACAACAACAGCTGCAGCTGCAACAACGAGAAACATCTGAAAGAACCATCGCTTCCTCACACTGTCGAACATCCCAACAGGTTCAAGAAGATCCTCCTCGGAAGAAGCAAAGGTCAGATAGTGGGTCATCAAGTAATCCCTCGCCTTTACTCAAAAAGCGCCCTTGGAAAGCGGTTTACTCGGAACGGTTCAAATTGGAAAAAAATTGGAGGAAGGGAATATGCACCATCAAGTCATTTGTAGGTCACACTGATGGAGTGACGTGTCTACAACTTAATAGGAAATATCTCATGACTGGATCATATGATACAACTATAAAGATTTGGAAGATTGATACTGGAGAATGTGTAAAGACTTTGAGTGGCCACACTAAAGGAGTTCGGTCATTGGTTTTTGATAACCAAAAATTGATCACTGGCGGACTAGACTCAACCATTAAAGTGTGGAATTATCATACTGGCCAATGTATAGCCACTTATCGCGGTCATGATGATGCTGTCGTCAGTGTTGATTTTTCAAACAAATCTATTGTTTCAGGGTCAGCCGATCACACAGTGAGAGTTTGGCATGTCGACTCAAGAACATGCTATACTTTGCGTGGTCATACAGATTGGGTGAACTGTGTCAAGATACACCCTGGTTCAAACACAATTTTTAGTGCTAGCGATGATACAACAATACGAATGTGGGATATGAATACAAATCAGTGTCTTAAAATCTTTGGAGGATTGGAGAATAATGGACATATTGGTCAAGTACAATGTGTTATTCCTCTTACCTATAAAGACTGTTTATTAGAAGATGTGGGTGAAAGCGAAGACAAGCAGTTGACAAGTCAAAGTACTGCAGCTCCACAAATGCAATCATCATCATCATCATCATCGCTGTTGTCTTCTCTGAGATCATCAGCATCATCATCATCATCATCATCAGCTCTTCCTACCCATATTCTTACCTGTTCGTTAGATAATACAATAAAGCTATGGGATTTATCTACTGGAAAATGTATTCGTACTCAATTTGGTCACATTGAAGGAGTTTGGTCAATTGCAGCAGATACATTTAGAATAATAAGTGGGGCACATGATAGATTGGTAAAAGTTTGGGATCTACAAAATGGTAAATGTTTACATAGTTTTGGTAACAGTTCAAGTGTTTCATGTGTAGGGTTAAGTGATTCAAAATTTGTTAGTGGAATGGAAAACGGTGAAGTTAAGATGTATTGTTTTGATTGAGGAAGAAAAATAAGATAAAAACGGGTAAAATGGCCCTGTTATAGCTTAATAAGTTCTTTTGTATAGATTAGAATAGTTTTAGACTCATTGTATATTGAATACATTGACTGTACTTTGTTCATAAGCTAGTCATCTGTTTTATTATGCGACACTATCTCGCTTTGAAAATTTATGGCCGCAGCGCGCTTATCAGTAAAAAGCAAAAATAAAAAAGTCCGAGAAATGTACAATGTATTAAAGATAACAGACAGAGAAAATTCTGAAACACCACAAAATAAAGAACAGACAATTTTCAATGATACCAACTTTAATGACAGTACTGAAAATAATATATACTTTTGATGAAAACAAAACGAATCCAAAAATGCCAAAAAAAAAGGTGAATAATTTTAACTCCAAAAACCAATTTATAAACAGGAACAAAAAAAAAAAGAAGAAGAAGAAGAAGAAAAGAATAAAAGCTTTGTGACCAAATTTCTTTGCTTTGAATTGGAAAAAAACCGTAGTTCATGTCAAATCACGTACCCAAGAATGTGGAAACATTGAACGTGAATTTTTCGTTAGAACTTTTCTCTTCAGATCCATCCTGTTGCATTGTAGAAACTCTATTTGTATCCCCATTATCGCTACTTCCTTGCGGTAATACGTATTCCTTATCATCGTGGGAATTTCCCGAACTGAAAAAACAATAATTATCAAGCAACTCTTTATATGACTTGGTATTCAATAAATTGTTCCTCTCTATCGACCTTGGCGCCGCCGAACTGCCACCACTGTCATCGGTAGTCTTTGGCTCAGATGAATCCGATGAACCCAATGCATTTGATTGTGGGGACACAACACGATAAAGATCAACCTTACTTGTCGAACCTGCAGAACTGTTCAATTGATCAATAAATTTAGATCTATATTTTGGTGGAGATGGTGATTGACGTTTTTGTATTAGTGATTGACTCTCGTTGCCGTCACAACTAAAGCTGGACTGGATCTGTGCATCATTTGGATTTTTCAAATATTCCTCTACATCCACATACTTCCCATCCAGTGTTTTGGTATTGTAGATTGAAGATAATAACGGTGATGTCAAATAAAAATTGTTTTTAACAAAATCACTTGTATCTGAACGTTGCAACGTATTATTAAAAGCGCTCCATTGGCCAGAGTCGGTGCCATCACCACTACCGCCGCTACTTTTAACACCCTTTTGCTTAGGTAATGGAGAGTTTAATTCGATTTCGGAATCTGACATAACTCGTTTAAGATAAGATGATGAGTATTTTGGTTTTTTGGCATGATCTTGAATAGATTTTGAATCAAGTACTTTTGGAGCTTTAAATTCTTTTTGAGGTTGCTGACGTTGAGACGGAGGTCGAGATATTGTTTTGATCAATGTAATATCATAATTTCTGGATGCATTATTATCCCAATATTCTTGGCCCTGGGTGCAAAACTTGATACACAACTGGTACTTTCTCTCCTTTTTAAACTCATCTTCACTCTCATCTTCCAAATCAGATGTAGACGAGCCATTTTTGGAGTACTTGAAACTGTTAAACAAGTTGTTTAAAGGAATTTTGAAAACAAACCGATCATAATTGTTTTGTTTCAAAACATCAATACTATTTTCTGTATAGGTAGTTGGTATTTCGATTATAGTCATCCAGTTATCAACCGAATATCGAACGGTAAGATACTTTTCAAATGCAATGTTCCTAACAGCAATATGGCCCATTAAGTATTTTTTATCTGCCGAGATAAACAATGTTTCCAAAAACACAGGTGTTTTCATCTCAATTTTTCGCATATATGACAAAGGTGGGAAATTGGATAGCCTCAATTCCCAATTAACTTGCGATGATGATGATGATGATGATGGTGATGATGATGATGCCAGTTTGGGATATTTTGTATCACCCAAACTAAAGTTATGAAGATTGTCGATAAAATTATTATGCATGAGTGAATTACGGAACCCTAAGCCTTGGTAATTCATTCCCCTTCTTCCATCGTCCTCTTCGTCTTGGTGGTCCCCTTCTTCATCATCATACTCGCAATCGTCGTCAGTCGAATTTGGATTGAACAATGGCGAATTTGTTGCCGAAATTGCTGATGGAGTATCTCTTTTCTTGAAATACTTGATATCATTTGAGCCGCCAAAGTGGACCTGTTTGTATGTGGGCGTGGAAGGTAATGACTTTGGTCTCGCAGAAAAGTACGACACTGAAGGACTTTTCAACGAAGACTTTACCAATTCACCAGATTTCTTTCGTACCAAATGATACCCCATGTTTATTGCCGACAATTCTGGTGGTAGTTTGGGCGAGAGAGAAGAAGGCGAAACGGAAAGCGACGGTGAAGATGTGGGTGAAATAGAAGGCGATAGTGAAGGCGATAGTGAGGGAGAAAGTGTGGTGTTTAAACGGAGCAGTGGCGACTGTGGTTCATCATTAGCATCACCGTTATTATTGTTATTGTTATTGTTGATTACCAGAGATTTGTGATTGAAATAGTCAGTAGGGGTTATACCGGTGGCTGTTGAATCTGCTTTACTTGCTTTGGTTGACTGAGATGGATTTGCTTGGGTTGTGGTAGATTCAGATTCAGAAGATACAGATTTGGATGCAGGTGTAGATGCAATAAATGTGTTTGATTTGATACTTTTATTGAAAAGACTGTTTGCCTTTGTGGGATCATTCGCTTGCTCAAATAAATTCTCTGACCTAGAAGGTTTATGGATGAACTTGATGGAAAGCGGCAAGTTGTTGTATTCCTCTTCCGATAAACGACGTACAAATAAGTCCCCTTTCTTGTTGCTAGCTAGCGCCTCACGTTGCTTGAGTGACGCATCATCTTGCAAAGAAGCTGGTGGTGAGTTTAATTCGTATGTATAAGATTCCCTTCTCTGGTGGTGAAATTGCAGTTGAAGTTGCGGTGGTGGTTGCGGTTGCGGTGGTGGTTGCAGTTGCAGTTGCAGTTGCAGTTGCGGTGGTGGTTCTCTTTGAAGTTGTGCAGATTGCATAGCAACACTCTAAGGAAAAGATATATAAAAGATGGGATTTTGAAGAATAGGAAAAAAATGGTGATGGCTTAAAGTATTGGGAGTTTTATTTTATTGCTGCCGGTTGTGGCAGTAGTAATGGTGGTGGTTGTGCCGCTGGTGGTGGTGCCAGTGATGCTGGTGACTAGTAGCTGGTGACTAGTAGTGTTTGGTGATGTATAATAAAAAGTAATACGATACCAGTATATCAGTAATTAAGAGATTAAAAAATAACTCAAAAATGCAAAAAGGAATTGAGGGATACAAAGTTGTTGGGGAGTAAGGAAAGCAAAGGGGGAGGGAGATGTTGGGAAAGTAAGGGGAGGGAGAGAGGGGGGTAAAGTAAAGAAGGCGGCGGGGTCGGGAGCGAGGGAAAGGAAGAAACGGGGAGGAAAAAGTTGGTAAATAATTAATTCTATTGCCACAGACAATGAGAAATCGAGGCGAATTAAACAAGTTAGTTAAACTGCCTTAAAGTGCCTAGCCAAAGCAAAGTGAGGTTTTATTAAAGGGACACGGGAGAGATAGGAGAAGAATAGATAGGCTAGAGATAAATGGACGGAGAAAAAAAAAAAGAAGAAAGAGGCGGGGATAAAAACAGGGAGACAAAGATCATGATAGGGGGAAGGGGGAAGGGTGAAGGGGGAAGGGGGGGAAAAAAAGGAAGGAAAAGGGAATTAA